AGCAATGTTTTGCATCGAGCCCGTTTTATTCTGGCATTCCAGGTGGCTTTTTCATGAGATTGGCTCGCTGTGTGGCCTTGACTAGGCTCAAGTATGGCGTGGCTGTTCTCGTTTTGCTGTTTGGAACAGCCAGATGGCCCCGGATAAGTGGAAGCTGGGATGGATGGGGCATGCAGGAGTTTGTGTGGGAATTGCTCGCTCAGAATTGTTCAATTCAAACACTGCGACGCCAACATTTGCACTGTCTTGGCGCGAGAAGTAATACCCGCCTCTCTCAGAGCTTTGCAGCATAATGAAGTCAAGACACGTGAAAAGTTTGGCAATCCAGCTTTATCGCGATAAGCGCTCCCCATACCTGGTTCTTGAGTCCAAAATTGGAGTTCAAATGGGTGAAATGTCGAGTTTGTCTTGACAAAACGGTGGAGGGTGAATAATGGTCGATCGCTCTGACGGGTGAGTTACAGCATGTTTCCACATGTCCAGCATTATCACAATGAAAAATAGTGCGGTACAGGTGTTCAAGGTGACGTACTACACACTCCGCTGGTCATTATTGCGGCGTCAAGCTCCATTCTACTCGCCATAGTACTCTTCGCCCTCTAATGAACTGCCGCAGCATGTAAGCGACAAGGGGTTCTTTTGAAGTTTGTTGGTGGTCTACTGCCACAACGCCATAGTCACGGTGGACTCATATTGTTCGATCGAGCAGCTATGGAGTCAAAGGCTTTGACTCAAAGCCCTGGACGAAATCCTAGAGAGGTTCTCCCAGCGTCCGATCCTATCTTAAAACTCAACGAAGAGCGTTTCTTTAGGCGAAACGCGCCTATCCTTACAATTATTGTGTTTCGTACCAATGTGAACGAACACTCCCTATTACGGTATACACGACGTATTTTGCCGAGGGAGGTATGCCTCCACGACTTGAGAATCAAGGACGTCGTTGTAAGTTACCAAAACGCAGCTTGCTGTGTCTTCTATCAAATTCCGTCTTGCTACGGACGTCTGTACTTGGGTCCAAGTTTGGACCCTTTTGCTTATCGCGAAGATTCCAAACACTGTCATGGACAGCAAAACTAAAACTTCGTTTACTCGGCGAAATAAGTGCCTGATCCAGCTGAAATTGTGGAAACAGACCTCATGCTTTAAGTTTTGGATAGGAGTACATGTACTTACGCTGCAACAACGTCAGTGTTGCAAGTTTGTCATTTTAGATCCGTCGTCTCGAGGAAAAAGTGTCAAATGCTGCAGAGCTCGACGTTTTGATTAGCAGTGGTCGGAACACTGAATCATTCCTCAAGGACATGTAAAGGATACTCTCTGTATGGTAAAAACCTTATTAAATCGACCACCGCAACTTCCCCACCGAGAATATGCACACTTCAATGAATCCAAGGAAGTCACTATTGCGTCACAGTCGATATCTTTTGCGTCGCAGTTCAAGTATCAACAACAGTCTTGTTTTATTGTTTTAATTACAACAAAAGACTTACTGGCTATCGTGCTATTCACTTACATGTCCGTTGAGCCTCTGCGTTGATCCTGACTCTGACGTTGAAGCTGCCGAAGAGTGTAATGAAGTTCCATGACCGTGGGGCGGTCAGCTGGGTCGTCCTTTAAACAGCTCTGTGCGATTTCCAGAACCTCCGGCGGGCAGTCTTCTCGGAACTTTGGCTTAAGTGATGATCCATCAACGCTATGACGTCGCGACTCCTTTCGAGAAAACGGCAGTTTGCAGCGATCCAACTCGGACATGACCACTCCAAACGAGTAAACGTCCGACTTCTCATCAAACTCGCCACTCGTCAAAACTTCCGGAGCTGTCCATGCCCGATCCTCGATCGATAACGAAGATGTGTCCAATCTGTAGCCGAGTCGATTCAGCTTGACTTCCCACGCCGATCCCAGCAGCAGACTATCTGCTTTCAAGTGGCCGTGTATGATTGGAGGTGCAAAGCTTTGCAGATACACGAGCGCCTCGGACACTTGCAATGCAATTGAAAGTTTACTCGGGGATTCGCTGGACGACTCCATCCAAGTGAACGAAACCTTCCGACTGGTTTTTTTCTCTTTCAGAAATACCGCAAGACTCCCGTGTTGAGCGTATTCCACAATAGCCGAGAGATCCGACAGACTAGCCCACATAATACCGAGGAAGCCCACCACCTTTGGGTGCTCTAGCTTGGCGCATACGCGTATTTCGTCCATGAACGCAGCCATCTGATCGCGAT